TGTTTAACGTATATTTCGCCTTAAAGTCTGTAATATTCTTAAAGATATTAATAAGGAATTTTGATGTTTTGTATGTGCTGGAATCATTTGATGCATTTATTGGACGAATTGGTATATTGTGCTTATGCAATTTGGGTAGTGCATACAATCTTGGGGTTTTCGGGTTAATCGGTAGAAGTGATTTTGGGTTGTTGTTGTGTTTTTCAATTGTATCTTTTGAATCCATTATTACTTTTTTGGATATTTTATGAAAAGCTGCAGTAGGGTTTTTTGTGGAAATTGTAAAACCATTATCTTTCAAAAATTGTTCCGTTTTCTCTTGGTANTTCTTCTGGAAGTTCTGTGTTGTTTATTATGTTGATAAGTTGCTCCCGATTGTTTAACGTATATTTCGCCTTAAAGTCTGTAATATTCTTAAAGATATTAATAAGGAATTTTGATGTTTTGTATGTGCTGGAATCATTTGATGCAATTATTGGACGAATTGGTATATTGTGTTTATGCAATTTGGGTAGTGCATACAATCTTGGGGTTTTCGGGTTAATCGGTAGAAGTGATTTTGGGTTTTTGTTGTGTTTTTCAATTGTATCTTTTGAATCCATTATGACTTTTTTGGATATTTTATGAAAAGCTGCAGTAGGGTTTTTTGTGGAAATTGTAAAACCATTATCTTTCAAAAATTGTTCCGTTTTCTCTTGGTATTCTTGTTTTCTCATTATAACCATACCGGCATTTTTATCTGCTTTGGTGATTGTTAGGCTTTTTGTTGTTTTCCTTTTTTCCTCTTTAATCAATACTTGTTGAAGTTCCTTTTGTAAATTTTCTCTATTCGGCATATATTTAATCATGGCTTCCAATTCTAAAGCTGTCTTTCGTAGGTTTGGTTTTGATGGTGCAGCGTATTTATGACCTTTTGTAAGCATCCTCATTTCCTGTTGATCGAATTTTATGTTTGTTAAATTTGTGATTCTGTCATAAAAAGAATGTCGTTGTGTATCGTTGATGTTTGTGTGTTTCATCTGTGATTTTTTCTCTTTTCTTAAATTGTATAATTTCTTTTGCTTATTTGACCAGTCAAAATTAGATTTTGTCTTAACCCATGTTCTTGTGTTGTCCATTATTTCATATTATTATTTCATTTTTTTACATATTCCTATCAAACTAACTTTGAACTTAACAGCTAATACCCTACAAGTAAAAAACACAAGTTCTTGTGAATTGAAGAAAAATTTGTAACATGTTAACTATTGCAAGAGATTTTTTAAAAATAAACTGACGTAAGTCTTTAGCTTTGTAACATATAATATAATTTACATAGTTTACCAATTCAATACATAAAACATTTTTAATTTGTAATAGATTTTCAAACTGTATCTTTTTATAATAGGTAATTCGAGGGTCCTGAGGATGGTTCTACTATTGAACCGAAACCGGTAGAATTAAAAACAAATAATCCATTTTTTAATAAAAGTACAAACAGAAGACACTGTTATTTTATTTAATGCTTTAAAATGGAAAGAAATAACGAATACAACAAAAAATACACCGTACAAAAAAAATAATAAGAAATATCTTTCGGTTTTATGTTAATCTCCCAATTAGATTTCCGACTTCCTCGCGCCATTTGGCAGTTCGGACCGGAAGTTTCTAGTCTTAATCCAGATAATGAAACATGCTGAAATTCGAGGAGGAGAGAGGACGCAACCTCGCTAATGGCTCGAAATAATTACTTGATGGCCACTTTAAGATTGGGATAACGTCTCAACGTGACGCTTGACATTTATTGGCACAAAGAAAAAGAAGGGAAACCTCTTTAAACAGAGATAATTAAATCGCCGATAAGATTCTTTGAGGGAGTTTTCTTTCAAGGGAAGAAGTCTCCCTTTGTAAATAAGATTTCCTGACGTAAATAGGCTATTGAAAAAGATGTTATAAGATAGAACAAAAGGCTAAAATAATTCTTTTTTGTTTCTAACTAGGTCCGATTTTTTAAAAGTTCGTGGATTTGATGAAGACATTGTAGGTTGGGGTGGAGAAGATGTGATGCTTTATCGGAAATACGTGCACAGCGACATGAAGGTGATTAGAGCTACGGATCCAGGAATTTTTCATATCTGGCATCCAAAAGTAAGTCGATTTTGTTGTATTCTTAATGAAGCTGTTTGAAGGGTGCGAGAGTATTTTAATTAAGTTGGATTTTTGGAAAAGTCAATTTAATTCTTTTGGACTTTCAGTTTGTTAGGTCTTTGTCAATTAAGTCAGAGGCGAAAGGGTTGGCGCCAGCATCCAAGTTATTCTGGCAATTCCAGCCGGTCCAGCAGATCAATTAGATCCGCAATCCGAAGCATTGGCCCCCTAGTTTAATTCAATTTCACGTTCGCACGCGTCCAGATTGATTGCCATATCCGGATTGTTCTGCAATCGACGCTCAATTGTCTTTTTACCATTCAATTTAAAATTAAATCCCTTTGTTTTAACTTATACGTTAATTTTTAATTTAATTTTTTCAATGGTAAAAATTCAAATTAAGTCCAATACAAAATTCCTAAGTAAAGCCTAATTTAACCACAATCAAACTCAACCCAACCTAAGTTGGCCCAACAAAAGCAAACCTAACCATACTCAACTTAAGTCATACTTGAATCTACTTAAGGCGAAACAATTAATATCATCGATGCATAGGATAACACATATTACAGTGCCACGAGGAGCTGCAATTTATATCAAATTTATATTCGACAACACACGTTGTAGCGTATCGGTCGCAAGTGACCTTGACTTAACCCAGAATGAAAATGCACGTTTAAGCTTAGATCGTTTGACGCCAAGGCGCTATATTTGATGTCACAATGAAGCAATATTGAACATGGTATTTTACAGCGCTTCGGTAACAACCGATTTCGACTTAACCAAGCATAATCTTGCATGGTGATACTTAAGTTGAGTCCATTCCGTAGAGCTGCAATGTATACCAAATTGATATTCGATAACACATATTGTAGAGTCTTGGCAACAAGCAGCGTTGATAGCTGCTACCGACTTAGGCCTACTTTTACCACCTCTTTGTTGATAAATTTATCCGACAGATAAATCCAGCTCTTAGCCAATGATAGCGCTTAAAACCGCTGTAACCATGGCAACTATACTCTAGATAGTTTATCAGGAGGATGGTAAAAGTGGGCCTTAATCTACCGATTTTCAAAAGAATCTATCTAAACGAAATAGATATATTAACAACTAGTGAAATAACAAAATTCATAAAATTTTTATATTTTCACATTTTTCTGGATATCTATGCATCTGAGAGCAAAAGTGCAAGAGAGCAATATTGTTAAGAATAAAATTTGCTACAACTTTTGTTCTAAAAGTTTTTTTGTAACATTCTCTGTTTCCTAGATGATGGTAGCACCAACTAGTAAAATGAAATTCATCAAATTTTTATATTTTCATATTTTTCTCGATATTGACGCATCTGAGAGCAACAGTGCAAAAGAGCAATATTGTTAAGAATAAAATTTGCTACAATTTTTGTACCAAAAGTTTTTTTGTAACATTCTCTGTTTCCTGGATGCTACCACTACCATCTAGTAAAATAGCGAAATTCATCAAATTTTTATATTTTCACATTTTTCTCGATATTGACGTATCTGAGAGCAACAGTGCAACAGAGCAATATTGTTAAGAATAAAATTTGCTACAATTTTTGTTCCAAAAGTTTTTTTGCAACATTCTCTGTTTCCTGGATGCTACCACTACCAACTAGTAAAATAACGAAATTCATCAAATTTTTATATTTTCATATTTTTCTCGATATTGACGCATCTGAGAGCAACAGTGCAAAAGCGCAATATTGTTAAGAATAAGATTTGCTACAATTTTTGTTCCAAAAGTTTTTTTTATAACATTCTCTGTTACCTGGATGCTACCACTACCAACTAGTAAAATAACGAAATTCATCAAATTTTTATATTTTCATGTTTTTCTCGATATCTGTGCATCTAAGAGCAAAAGTGCAAGAGAACAATATTGTTAAGAATAAAATTTGCTACAACTATTGTTCTAAAAGATTTTTTGTAAGGTGCTCCAATTCCCAAGTGTTACTATAACATCTAGTAAAACAACGAAACTCATCAAATTTGCATATTTTCGTGTTTATCTCGATATCTATGCATCTAAGAGCAAAAGTGCAAGATAGCAATATTGTTAAGAATAAAATTTGCTACAATTTTTGTTCTAAAAGTTTTTCTATAACATTCTCTGTTTCCTGGATGATACCATTACCAACTAGTAAAATAACGAAATTCATAAAATTTTTATATTTTCATATTTTTCTCGATATTGACGCATCTGAGAGCAAAAGTGCAAGAGAACAATATTGTTAAGAATAAAATTTGCTACAACTATTGTTCTAAAAGATTTTTTGTAAGGTGCTCCAATTCCCAAGTATTACCATAACATCTAGTAAAACAACGAAACTCATCAAATTTGCATATTTTCGTGTTTATCTCGATATCTATGCATCTAAGAGCAAAAGTGCAAGAGAGCAATATTGTTAAGAATAAAATTTGCTACAACTTTTGTTCTAAAAGTTTTTTTGTAACATTCTCTGTTAGCTGGATGCTACCACTACCAACTAGTAAAATAACGAAATTCATCAAATTTTTATATTTTCATGTTTTTCTCGATATCTGTGCATCTAAGAGCAAAAGTGCAAGAGAACAATATTGTTAAGAATAAAATTTGCTACAACTATTGTTCTAAAAGATTTTTTGTAAGGTGCTCCAATTCCCAAGTGTTACTATAACATCTAGTAAAACAACGAAATTCATCAAATTTGCATATTTTCGTGTTTATTTTGATATCTATGCATCTAAGAGCAAAAGTGCAAGAGAGCAATATTGTTAAGAATAAAATTTGCTACAACTTTTGTTCCAAAAGTGTTTTTGTAACATTCTCTGTTTCCTGGATGCTACCACTACCAACTAGTAAAATACCAAAATTCATCAAATTTTCATATTTTTCTCGATATTGACGCATCTAAGAGCAACAGAGCAAGAGAACAATATTGTTAAGAATAAAATTTGCTACAACTTTTGTTCTAAAAGTTTATTTGTAACATTCTCTGTTTCCTGGATGCTACCACTACCAACTAGTAAAATAACGAAATTCATAAAATTTTTATATTTCCATGTTTTTCTCGATATCTATGCATCTGAGAACAAAAGTACAAGAGAGCAATATTGTTAAGAATAAAATTTGCTACAACTTTTGTTCTAAAAGTTTTTTTGTAACATTCTCTGTTTCCTGGATGCTACCACTACCAACTAGTAAAATAACGAAATTCATCAAATTTTTATATTTTCATGTTTTTCTCGATATCTATGCATCTAAGAGCAAAAATGCAAGAGAACAATATTGTTAAGAATAAAATTTGCTACAACTATTGTTCTAAAAGATTTTTTGTAAGGTGCTCCAATTTCCAAGTGTTACCATAACATCTAGTAAAACAGCGAAATTCATCAAATTTGCATATTTTCGTGTTTATCTCGATATCTATGCATCTAAGAGCAAAAGTGCAAGAGAGCAATATTGTTAAGAATAAAATTTGCTACAACTATTGTTCTAAAAGATTTTTTGTAAGGTGCTCCAATTCCCAAGTGTTACTATAACATCTAGTAAAACAACGAAATTCATCAAATTTGCATATTTTCGTGTTTATCTCGATATCTATGCATCTAAGAGCAAAAGTGCAAGAGAGCAATATTGTTAAGAATAAAATTTACTACAACTTTTGTTCCAAAAGTTTTTTTGTAACAACAACGAAATGTATCATATTCTCGTATTTTTCTCGATTTCTATACATCTGCTTGTGAGAGCAAAAGTGTAAAAGAGCAATATTTTTTTTTTTAATTTTTATTTTGTTATAGGTTTGTTCTGGTACTCCGGGTGGCCAAAAGCTTTCACCGGATCAATACAGATCCTGCATCAGATCGAGAGCTTTAAACGAAGCCTCTCACGCACAATTGGGCTTTTTAGCCTTCAGAGATGATATAGCAGCGAATAACGGCCCCGCGAAATATCCGCCACCCCCGCAAAACCCCCATCACCACCCTCCACCGAAAAAAGCCCCGCCAAATCCTCCAAATTAAATTCTGCTTTAACTTTAAGTATTGAATTGTGATATTTTTTCGTGTCATTTATTGTTAATACATTCCTGATTATTGTTTTTTTTCGTTATTTAGTGTTTTAAGAGATTGTTTTTGATTGTTAATAAATTAAACGAGAATTTGTACATCGAACATTCCAGATTTGTTGTTTTTTTTTTGTTTATTAACTTGGACATAATCAATGATACCGAATTTGAAATGATAAATTCATATAAATAAAGTATGTTATTAGTAAATTTGTTGTTTTATTTTAAGTGAGACATTTTAAGGCGGTAAGTATTAAAACTTTGAATACAATTTCATTTTAAATACTTTATACTCTAATTTAATGGCGACGAATTCTAACGAAAAGGTGATAAATCCAGCTCCGTAACCGTACAATAAAAACCAAAAAGCTTCCTCGTAATGTTTTAATGATAAAACAACCGTTGATTCATACTCGGGAATTCCTAAAAGAATCATGCTGTAATTGGTGTTTTCGAAAATGATGTTGTTCCATGATTTAATAAGGAACCCTTTTTCGATAATCTCCATTGACCAAAAGTAAATGATATCGTTCAAAAAATTAAACTTTCTTAATAAAAACGTTACAAATAAAGTCATTTTAGTGAGATTCGTGATTACATTGTCGTGATGTGGCGTATCAAAGGGAAATGTATCTGTGGTTGATTGAAAAGTCATCGCAGTTCGATTTGTTACTTTAAATATCCCTTTTAAGATATCCCTTTCGGGTGTACTAACGATGTTTATGTGATGCCGCCATGATTCAACGTTAAACCTTTCATAAATCGCAGAAAGCCTCTCGAAATACCAAGACATATTCGGGTAATAATTATTAATATACATGCTTTCTGCGTTTGCTATTTGTATCCCTTGCGCGGGCAAAGTAAAAATTCCGCTTAATTTTCCAGTATAAATCGTGCTTATATTAATTGAATAAAGCAGATAAAATGTTAATAAAATCCTTAGCGTTGAACGATTCGGCAAAGAAAAAATACTCCATCCAATTGAAATGCGGTAAAAATCTAATAAAATGTAAATGTTGTTTATGTTATCTTTGTAATAATTTATAAATTTTGAATAAATCGTTGCGATTAAGATAATCATTGTTAAAAATGTTAACCAAACCGGGAATTCAAATACTTTTAAAAGTCTTCGATACGTGCGAATTCTTGGCGGCTTTGGAACGACTAAAATAAATTTATCCTGATAAATCAACGGTCCAAAAATGTAATCTCTAGTTTGATTCATCATCGTATGCCCGATTATCGCATCTGTTTGGGAGTTTAAAAGAAATCTTTTTGCTTCCCACATTGAACCATTTTTCATGAATTCTTCCTGAAACGATTCGTTGTAATAAAAATTAATTTGAATGTTTGATTTGATTTGAATCAATTTAAACATTGTTACGAAAATCCCTGGATTTTTTTTGGCAATCTCATCAACGAATGGTAATGATTTTATAAATGTTACGTTAAAGATGCAGTTTTTTAACGACTTTTTTGGATTAAGTAAATTTTTTTCTTTAAATGTGTGATGTTTTCCGCAAAGGTTTTCTTCATAAAGCGGGTCCCAAATTAATGTTTTTCTTCTCCCGTTATTATTTATTATGGAAAAATAAATTTCGTAAAATCCAATTAATGCAATTTCTTTTCCTAAATTTATTAATTCTTCATTTTTGGTAATTATCATTATCCTTCTTTGGACGTAATTTGCGTATAAGAATTTTAAATCATTTAAATTTATATTATTTGAGATTACCACCAAATCCAGCTGGTTGTTTCCTAATAATTTTTGATCAAACCTTTTTTGTGTCGAATTTATTAAAATTACTTGGAGCTTTAAACTTTCATAATCAAACTCTTGATTTTCCCCAAAAATAATTATAGTGCTCAATGGAAAATTCTCGAGAATAATCTCATTTATTGCTAAATTATTTTTGTTGTCAACGTTAATTTTTCCTTCAATTAACCAAAACGAAATCAAAAAAATTAATGTTGTCTTCACCATTTTTTTCGAAGCTCCACCTTTAGCTGTGCCCAAGATAAAACTAAATAAAAATTGCCTCAAAGTTGTTTTTTACGTGGTGATTTGGTGTAAGTAATAATCGAAACTTAATAATATCAAATAGAAATCCAATTTGATTGATATCAACCTCTAAGGAAATGTTATGAAAATTGGATTTTATTTACTTAAGTTTCTCTGTATTTTTTTTTTATTTTCCGACCGGTAATAATTTCTTTTAGGTGTATTAAAAAGGAAATTTGTAGACGTTTGCAAATGTGATACGATTTGTCGATATCTATGCATCTGAGAGTAAAAGTGTTGAAAACAAGATTGTTAAGAATAAAATTTGCTACAACTTTTGTTCTAAAAGTTTTTTTGTAACATTCTCTGTTTCCTGGATACTACCATTACCAAGTAGTAAAATAACGAAATTCATCAAATTTTTATATTTTCATATTTTTCTCCATATTGATGCATTTGAGACCAAAAGTGCAAGAGAACAATATTGTTAAGAATAAAATTTGCTACAACTATGGTTCTACAAGTTTTTTTGTAACATTCTCTGTTTCCTAGATACTACCATTACCAACTAGTAAAATAACGAAATTCATCAAATTTTTATATTTTCATATTTTTCTCCATATTGATGCATTTGAGATCAAAAGTGCAAGAGAACAATATTGTTAAGAATAAAATTTTCTACAACTTTTGTTCTACAAGCTTTTTTGTAACATTCTCTGTTTCCTAGATACTACCATTACCAACTAGTAAAATAACGAAATTTATCCAATTTTTATATTTTCATATTTTTCTCGATATCTATGCATTTGAGAGCAAAAGTGCAAGAGAACAATATTGTTAAGAATAAAATTTGCTACAACTATTGTTCTAAAAGATTTTTTGTAAGGTGCTCCAATTCCCAAGTGTTACCATAACATCTAGTAAAACAACGAAATTCATCAAATTTGCATATTTTCGTGTTTATCTCGATATCTATACATTTGAGAGCAAATATGTAAGAGAGTAATATTGTTAAGAATAAAATTTGCTACAACTTTTGTTCTACAAGTTTTTTTGTAACATTCTCTGTTTTCTAGATACTACCATTACTAACTAGTAAAATAACGAAATTTATCCAATTTTTATATTTTCATATTTTTCTCGATATTGATGCATTTGAGGGCAAAAGTGCAACAGAACAATATTGTTAAGAATAAAATTTGCTACAACTATGGTTCTAAAAGATTTTTTGTAAGGTGCTCCAATTCCCAAGTGTGACCATAACATCTAGTAAAACAACGAAATTCATCAAATTTTTATATTTCCATATTTTTCTCCATATTGATGCATTTGAGATCAAAAGTGCAAGAGAACAATATTGTTAAGAATAAAATTTGCTACAACTATTGTTCTAAAAGATTTTTTNGATTTTAAAACCAAAAGTACTTAATTTTGACATTTTGGGGATTTTCTCTTTATCACTAGAAAATTATTATGCCTAAACTAAATTGGTTTATGGATGATGCCTTTTTAGCTCATAATAAACAGTTTATTTCTCAAATTACGTACAATTTCACAGCCGACTACTGAATTTTCGATGATTTTAAGTAGCATTAACAAGATACGCGTCTTTAGTTTTTTGAGTTTTTTATGAAAACGACAATGTTTTTTAAAAAATAGTAAGAGTAAAAAAAGTTTTAGAATTAAATTCCACATGAAATGAGGTAATAATGTATTAAATCCACAAAAAGGTTAAAAATATCTGCCAAAATTTAGGGAACCATCACCCTTAATCAACCCTTTGAATTGGTCTCAACTTGCTTTGGTTTTTCTAATTTAATGTATTACGAAGATATTGAATGTTTTAAAAATTTAAGATCCAACTTTGAAGGCCTATAACTCCTCAGGGGTACAACTTGGTATAGAGATAAGTTGCGTTAAATCATCTTAATTTATTGTCCTCTACATGTCCCTGCTCACTGTGTGTCGGTTCTTATGTGAATCACCCTGTATTTTACACTAAAAAGATTGCTGAAAATTTTCACGTTTTCGTTCCAACTCTGAATGTAGTTTGCTGATTCGATAATGGTCCTTGATCTTCGCCTGAAGGCGTACATAGACTGAATACGAAAACGATTTCGAGGGGCGACCCAAACTTTGTTGGTTGTATCCTTTCAATTTAGGGCGGTAATTTCAGAGAAGTGATCAATTCAATTCAGCTAATGGACTAGTTTATTACTCTACAATGTTCAATTGTTAAAATTAATTTTAATCAAACTTAATAGCATTTGATTAAATTTATTAAATTTCTATTTAACTTTGATACCAACTGCTTTTAAAATTAAACTAAAATTAGAACTAAAACTAGAACTAACATCATACTTTTTGTATACACCTCAAATTTAAATTTAATCAAAAACTATTTAATATGTGTTAAATTACACTTTAATGTTTTTCTGTGGAATCGTTTGAATAAACGCGATTCATTTCGTTCCCCATCAATAAAACGTCCCTTTGTGAACACGTTCCGAAAGATTGGTTCATTAGTTAACAGTGGGAAGAGGCGTCAATCCGTCAAAAACGCCGCTGAAAATTGCGCACTCGACACAATTTCAAAGGGAAAACGATAACGTGTCGATGTCGACCATACATCGACGATCAATTTTCGAAAATCAAGCGCCGCATTTTCGAGTAATTTTTCGCATGATAAAACATTACACCATATTTTCGCTATGCGAGAAGTGAAAACATTTTTTTTACCTAATTCTTCAAGGTCTATCTGATTAATTTTCATGTTCAATTTTGAAATCGACTTATTCATGCGATGGCGAGATAACAACTATTATTAACGCACTTCCGATGCATGAAGAACCGTTATAAAATGTATTTTTTATTATGAATCAACAATGGACTTTGTTACCATTTAAATTAATTTCAATTGATTTTTTAAAATGTAAGAAAGAACGAGGTTCGTTATGAATGAAATTTCTAATTAGGATGGCAACTTTGTCTTCCCAGTTCGTTAAACCCAGTTTCTGTTCGGCTAAACCCTTCATCCGAGGGGTCGACATTCGAAATTCGAGTCAATTAGGAACGAACGGGAGCTTAGGAATTCTGGAATTTCACCTTTTA